CATTTTAATATTGCCCATACTTCTGTCAACTCTATCTCCAACGTAATCTCTAGCCCTCCTATCATGTCTGACTCCTCCATTCCTCATCATTTCTATTTCAGCCTCCACTAATGCATCATCATCAATTCCACTACCCGCTTCATTTTCACCACCAATATCCGCTCCAGGATTCCGCTAACCTTGCCTCCTTGTGTTGGGAACTTCCATGTGTTTGTTCCATAAGAAAATTAGTAAGCAATATGTCTTGCCTCTCCATCCACGCCTCTTGTCTATCTATTCTATCTCCCTTATCACCAAATAACTTTTCAAGTCTTTGTATCATCTCCTCCATCATGATGACTTGACTATTCTTCCCACTTGAAGTAGAATCGTTTTTATCAGACATCCTAAATCTAGAATAGTATTTGCCTCACGTATGTATACTCGTGTATCACTCAATTTGCTTTTCCCTCTATTAGTCTCATCATTATGCCTTTTTTCCATTCAATGCTTCCTTGCAAGTGCTTCAAAAAATTTATTTCATCTCAATCAAAATTTCAATCATTATGGGGTTCAAACAAAGAATTGAGTAGGAAAGTGATCTAAAATGATTTAAGAATTAGGAATTTGAATTTTGAATGGAAACGTTAATGATAAATTCAAGAAAGTGTTTCTTGAATTCGGACTGGACATGTTTCTTGAATTCAGTCTGCAACAAAAATCGAAAAAGAATTAATTTGTGCACTAATTTAGCGCACAAATAACTTTTGAATTTTTTTGGTATTGGATTGAATGACTCAAAAGATGAAAAACACAAAGAACGAAGATGAAGACTCAAATAAAAACAAACAACGAATTAAATGATTTAACCTTGATATTTGGAACCAAGCTTTGATATCAATTGATGCGAACTCATGTAACGATTGTAGTTACGGAACCCACGACAAATTAGATCAAATCCAAGAAATCCAATAATCAACACTTGAAAGAAAGCTCGACCAAATAAATTATTAAACCAAAGAACCAAAATAATTGCAACAATATCTTGACCTAGTGATCACAAAATTTATGAACCTTACTTAAATTGTTGAATGCCACAAGAATTTAATTTTTGATAAGTTCGGAATTAATTTGGTGAAGAACGAGAAGATAGCAATTGCGATCTCTCAAATTGTTTGCTTTTTAACAATAAATGGAATGTGTCCTATTTATATGTAACCTATAAAATCTAATTAAAAACAAAATTAAGCCTTCAAGTATATTAAAAAGTTATCATACAAGAGTTTTAACTAAAATAGAATTATAGGCGAAATTTGAAAAATATGCGTATAGAAATGCAATATGCTGCCGCATAGGCTTCCTTCATGTTGTCGCATTGACCGGTTATTATCTTCAGCTTGGTTTTGGTATGGAGACGTGCGGTCGTATGTGGTCGCATAGGTGTTCAATTTAGCTCGATTGTCCGTTACTTGAACCAAGTTATCTATCTTGTTTATTCTTTCATACCCAATATGAAACATATCATTTTGATTGTCGTGATCGAAGTTTCATCCATCATAACTTGAACTAGTAACCCCATATCTTCTTTGACCTTCTTTGCTCGTGATCTCGTCATTGGTCATTTTTCCACAATCAACACATCATTGTCCTCGTTATCTCTCGTACCATGGTTCTCATCACTAATTTATTTGGTTGGAAACTTGAAAACAAAGCCCACAACCGTGCTTGAATTTTGTATATTTATACGATGCTTCTTGAGACACAAATGCATGTTGTGAAAACTTTATAGTACTCACAAAGTATGAAACTTAGTTGTCTGTGTCACTATTCAAATAATGTGTATTATTTATTTATGGGTAATTAACACATAACGTCCTTACCTTTCGTTATTATTGTGTAAAACATTCACACCTTTCATTTTTTGACATTTTCACTCTTATTTTCACATTTCATTGCGCAAAATGTCATTTTCATCTATTTCCTCAATTAAAAATTATGAAATGATGAATATACCATTCTTTTTAAATTAAACAAAAAGAAAAAGAAAAAATTAATTGCAATCATAGTTCCAAGTTTTTTTAAAAAGCGCAAATGAATCCCAAATAAATTATTAAAAGGGTAATTAGTACATAATGTCCATATCTATCACCGTTATTGTGAAAAAAGTTCATACCGTTCATTTTTTGGTATTTTCACTCTTAATTACACATTTAATTGTGCAAACCATCATTTTCATCCATTTTCTCAATAAATAACTGTAAAATAATGAATATCCCTCATATTTAAATAAAAAAAATACATTTTTTAATTTCTACTTCTTTAATAATTTGGGACTCGTTTGCACTTTAAATTTTTTAATTTTTAAATAAATTTAATTGGGACTCATTTGCACTTTTCTGTTAAAAAAAATTGGAACTATGGTTGCAATTAATTTTTTAGCTTTTTTATTTAAATAGGAGGGTATATTCGTCATTTTACAGTTTTTAATTGAGAAATTCGATGAAAATTGATAGAAATGATGATTTGAGCAATTAAATGTGTAATTAAGGGTGAAAATGTCAAAAAATAAAAGGTATGGACTTTTTTTGCAATAATAGTGAAATGTAGGGACATTATATGCTAATTACACTTTTAATAATTTATTTGAGACTCATTTGCCCTTTTCCAAAAAAATTGGGACTATGCCCCCCTTTGGTGCACATTTTGGGGGTAAAAATGCATTTTTATTGTTGATGTGATGGAAAATATGTGGTTAAAAAAGAAGGAAAAAATATTCATGTGATGAAAAATATTATTTTATTAAATAATGTGTGGTTGAAAATGAGTAGAAGAATAAAAATGAGAAAAATAATGTGGATCAAACAGGGGCTGTGATTGCAATTAATTTTTTTCTTTTGCTTCATTTAAAGGGAATGATATATTCGTCATTTCACAATTTTTAATTGAGAAAATGGATGAAAATGACCTTCTGAGCCATGAAAGTCGGAAATAAGGGTGAAAATGTCAAAAAATGAAAAGTAACAACGTTTTCCACAATGACAGTGACATTTTGGGACGTTATGTGTTAATTACCCATTTATTTATATATGCCCCACTATTTAATTAGTGGATTCCTATTATTTAGCACATGTTTGACTTGGATTAAAATTCAATTAAAATATCAAGTTTAATCATACATTTAATTGGATTCACAATTTTTCATTCATAAATTTCATCAACTTTTATCAAAATATAATAAATTTGTACCAAACAAGCGCTTAATAAATATGTTAAGAGGGGGTCTGGGCGCGCCGAAATGGGGTAGAAAAATCAATTTTTAAAACGTTGGGAGGAGACATGTGGGTCCCACTCCTCAGAAAGAGGGTCAAAATTTGTGGGTTGCAACGGGCAAAAAATCCATGTTTTGGCAAGGATAATCTGCACCAGACAGGCACTAAATAAATAGTGATATGAAGTATTGTAGAATACTAATTTTATTTTTATTTTTTTCGCATATTTGTAACCCACGAGTCATGCATGACCTAAAACTAGAAAATTATGATTATTCTTGGTGTAAAAGTCCCTTCCTGCGAGTAAGGGTTCTCTATCTTCCTCTGTGAAGTCTTTCCGGCCTCCCTCCGGTGGGGGTTGTTTCTCTTGAGTTTTCGGGTGGGTATTTTCTTGGTTTCACTTGCGGGTTAGTGGTGGGGGGGTGGGAGCTTAGGCTCCCCCCCCTTTTTTCTTTTCTTTTCTTCCTGTTTTTTTTCGTTTTCTTTTGTGTTTTTCTTCTTGTTGGCTGAGGATTCGCCGATTTGCTGGCGGGTTTTGGGCGGGGAGGTGGTGTGGTCGGCTGAGCTTCGGCGGTGGAGATTCGTGTGGGCTTCAGTCGGTGTTGAGAGGCGAGAGAGGTTTGGTCGGAAATTTGTGGCTGGCCTAGGTCGTTTGGGGTTTCTTGTGGACGGGGTCGACGAGGATGTTGCTGCAGTTGGAGCTTCACCGGCGGGCAGTTTTTGGCTGGTCTTCCAGTGTTGCCGTGGGATGGTGGTGGTGGTGTGTCGGTGTATGTTGGTTGATGTTTGGTGGTGTGTGTAGGTTGTTTTGTCTGGTTTGTTGTTTGGTTTGTAATTTGTTTTTGTTGTTTTGGTGTGTGGTTTGTTTGGCATTGATGAAGTCCAGACAATGTCCGTTTCCTGGTGAGCGGGGGTGCTTGAGTGCTGAGTGCGTAGTTGGCTTTATGTAGGGTTTTTCAAGCCTTGGTAAAGTCACAGATGTTTTCGACTTCTTTGTCATTGTTTGTTTCAGGTCGTGTATAGCTTGTTTGTATTTGGGTCTTGTTTTGTGTTCGTGGTTGTTGTTTGGGCCGTGGAAGCACTTTATCTCTCATTGGAGAGCGTGTATTGGAGGTTTTTCTCCGTGTATCTGCTTTATGCGCCTTCTATGAATACAAATCTTATTTGAATCGAAAAAAAAAAAAGGGGGTTTCACGGAACTCCCCAGAGCACACACAATAGGTGGAAAGGGTGGGTTTGAATTTTTTATGAGGTGGGTCCCACGTGAGGGGCCCACCTACTGTGTGTGATCCGGAGATAATCCTGAAAATTAACACCACTATCCCACCCTACCCCACGAGACCTGGACCTGAAATTTCCAAATTAATGGCGGCAATTAAGAGCCTGTTTGGTACAGATTCTCATTTTCTACAGTAAATCAATTCTCATTTTCAACCATACATTCTTCAATAAAATAATATTTTCTATCACATCAATACATTTTTCTTCTTTTTCAACTACACATTTCCCATCATATCACTATTCAAAAATCAATTCTTCCTCCAAATATCCCAACCAAACACACTCTAAAATATTTCCATTTTAATCCACTCCCGCCAATAACCTGACTTGGATTCCCGAGCACTCTTCTTCATTTTCAATTCCCAATCTCATATAAACCCCAATTCTCTTTCCCTCCCACTCCCCGTTTAATTTTTCTCCACAATTTTGAAACCCTAACCCCTACTTTGCTCCTTTAAATCAGAACCCAACATGTTGGAACTGAGGCTAGTACAGGGAAGCCTGTTGAAGAAGGTTCTGGATTCCATAAAGGACCTTGTGAACGATGCGAATTTTGATTGCTCGGCGACTGGTTTTTCTCTGCAGGCGATGGACAGCAGCCACGTGGCGCTGGTGGCGCTGCTCCTCAGATCCGAGGGATTCGAGCATTACCGATGTGACAGGAACCTTTCCATGGGGATAAATCTTGGTAATATGGCTAAGATGCTCAAGTGTGCCGGAAATGATGACATCATCACTATTAAGGCCGACGACGGCAGTGATACTGTCACTTTCATGTTTGAAAGCCCCAGTATGTGTTACATTTAACTTGAATTTTTAATTTTTTGCCCTAATCGTGTTCTGGTTTCTTAATTCTTTGTTTGTTATTTTGTAGAAGATAGGATTTTTGCTTTAGAAATTAGAATTGATATTTATGATACAAATAATTTGGTAATGTCGGGGACAGATCAATTACTAATTTGGTTAATTGGAGAAAATTAGGACATAAATGCGAATTTTAGCATGTAGTTCAGGTGATTTTCTTCTCCTTTTTTGAATTTTCTAAGTTTTGAACTTTTAACATTGAAGCTCTAGTTTTTCAAATGTTGCTTTTTTTTTTCAAAGGTGATTTTGTCTCAATTATGGTTTTGAAAATGAGAACTAGCATTTTTTCGTTGTAAAAGGTTAAATGGTGTGTACATGTTTAAGATATAAGATTTCTGAGGTTAAATGTATTTCCCTGTTCCCTTGTGCCACTCTTCTATGTTTTCTGCCAAGTTTAACCTAATAGAGATTTTATGTTATTGTTTCTTAGTCTTAAACTTTAAGGGTCTATATAGCTTTATAATACATTATATTCAGATTATGAATCTAATTGATGAGAGGCCTCTGTTTATTATTGGTTCAAGATCATGTTTCTAATTTTTTTTTTGACATTCGGATTTGTATGATTTTTTATATTCTGCACTTTGATTTTTGGTATTGCAATTTTTGGATTACAGCGCAAGATAAGATTTCAGATTTTGAGATGAAGCTTATGGACATAGACAGTGAGCATCTTGGAATTCCTGAGGCCGAGTACCATGCTATAGTTAGGATGCCTTCATCTGAGTTTGCGAGAATTTGTAAAGATCTGAGCAGTATTGGTGACACAGGTGATCAGTGATATTTACTGATGCATTAGTTGGTTATAAAATCCACCCCATCCCCCTGAATTTTTCTCGGTTAATAGAATACTGAAAATATTTAAGGCAGTCCCAAGTTTGGCTCATGCACTACAATTTATATACATTGATGATATACAAGAGCTAATATATGATGCTAATAGCTCACTGTTATGACGTGCCTTGTGGATGTTGTTGACCTTTGGATTGATGGTTGATTGCAGTGTTGATATCCGTGACAAAGGAAGGTGTGAAATTCTCAACAAGAGGTGACATTGGAACTGCAAATGTTGTTTGTCGTCAAAATACAACAGTGGACAAGGTATAGGAGCTTTTATACCTCGAATGTTGTGAACTTACTGTAATTCCGTTGTTAATGGCATGATGTTGAATGATTTATTTTCTTATACACAGCCGGAGGATGCAACAATCATAGAGATGAACGAGCCTGTATCACTGACATTTGCTCTGAGGTACTTGAACTCTTTCACCAAGGCAACTCCATTATCGAACATGGTTACTATCAGCTTGTCTTCAGAACTTCCAGTTGTAGTTGAGTACAAGATTGCAGAGATGGGTTATATCAGGTTCTACTTGGCACCCAAGATAGAAGAGGATGATGAAGACCCTAAGCCTTGAGTTAATGTTTAGGGGTTTTTAATCTCAACACTAGTTCTGTAGAAGTCCTGCGTTTTGTATTATTGTTGTCTTCTCTTAGTTATGGCGTTCTCTCTTTGAATGCTTACCCCATCTCTTTTATTGTTATTAACAGGAATGAGCAAGGAACTGATAATACTACAATTAGATTCCAATTACTTTTGCAGGGTTGGTTGTCAAAGTTCTTGATAAAAGTTTTAACGAATTTTGATAAAAAGTTTATGACGTGTCGTTGAAAGGTGGTGGTTTTATAAAATGTGGTTAAAATTGAGCTTTGACCATTTGAAAAGTTGATGAATTTGTGCGGTCTGTGTTCATCTCTCCTAGCAAATGATAAGATGATCAAAATGAGATTCTCCCTTTATACCAAAGTGAAATAAGTTGAACTATACCTTCGAATGTATTAATACATTATGAATATCTAATTCTCAAGCCACGACTAAAGAACTCGAAGAACCTGTAAAATGATTGATTGACAACGGAAGGCTCTTTGCAGAACAAAAATGCCTTATTCTATACACAATCGAAGCAGCTGTTTCCGGCATTCTCCATTCTATGGTTGCATGACTTTAAGGACTAAGTTTAGCAGGTCTCGACCAAACGAACCGGAGGCAGAAATCATTATCATCATAAGCAGGAATACAAAAATGCAGAAATCATTATCCTAAGCAGGAATCTACAAATTCTTTCCTCGAAGAATCTCCTAGAGAGCAAATTTACCTTCAGTCATGAGGTCGTTTCTTGGGTTCACTGACAAGAAAGCGACTGTGATATTGTCACCTCTCTTGAAGGTTGAGTTCTTGGGTACATCAGAGCTGACATCACCGAAGTTTACACCGGGAGGAGTTGCATCCATCACGACTGGCATTAGTAAGCTTATTTGCTTGTCTAGCAGATCCAAGGGTTGGGGCTCCGACTGCACAGGTCCACTGATAAGAGCTGCAGCTAGCTTCTTGACCTCCTGAATGTAGGCATTGACAGTATGTGGATCAAATAGTGTCGAGGCACCCTAGAAAGGACGAAAACATGTCATGGATTACAACCAAACATTGGGTGGGAAATTTGTCTAGTTGAATTTTTAAGAGCATCTCCAAGAATGTCTTTATTAGTCTCATTTTCTCTATTTTAGAGAGCTAAATCTTGTTTTGTGGGAAAATATATGCTTTCATACATTGTTTCACAAATATTCATGCATCTCTTTATTTTAGAGACTAAGAGAGTAAATGTTGATCAAAATTTTCTTAAGAATCTTAAGAATGAGGTCAGCTAATAAATGTATGTTCAAGTTCAATTCAAGATAGGCAAACGTAAAGAAGCCTGAGATTAAATGGGAAAAAGTTAACTAAAGAAATTACAGTCTTAGTTAGCAAAAATAGAGCTTTAAAACATGTTATCCACATGAATTAAGGAATATGTAGAACCAATTCTTTAGAATTGTGGAACAATATCATGGTCAGCAAACATCTCTCAGCAAAAGGAGATAATATGCTAAATGGATCAAACAAAAGATTACTCGAGGAGCTAAGAGGATAACATATCTGTTGGGGCTGAAAGACTTCCTTAAGTCTGAACTTAATAGATGTACACCAGTAGGAAAAACGAACCAGCAGAACAGAATAAAGAACAGCAAGAAATAAAACCAGCAGGAAAGAAAAACCAGCACAAGAAAGAACAGCAGATTTAGAACAGGGAGAATGATCTTCCTCAGTCTTTATTCATTCAACATTCAAGACTTTACATGATTTTCCTATCAGAAATCATCAGAAAATTCTACAGACTTACAAGAGTTTTACGACTCTATCTCATCTCACTTTCTCATTCTCGAGTTATCCCCTTACTTCAGTCCTAAAACGAGTATTTATAGGCACAAAGGAGTATCAAAGTTAGTTATAACTACCTAACTAACTAAGGCTCCTTTTGGTTGAAGATTCTACCAGAAAATAGTTGATCAAACCAGCAGAAAAGGGGCTCCAACTTGCAACAGAATTCTGATGGTTTGAGGAATCAAGAAACTGATTTTAAGGAATCAGATTTCTTACAATCTCCACCTTGATTCCTTGAAGTTCCAACCTCAACTTCACTACCTTGCAAGATATAGATGCCTTGTTGTAGGACTCCTTTCACGATCACTACAGAATTTTCCATTACATTTAACACTCCACCTTGAGCTTTATACACACAACCATCTTTGTCAATTGCTCCAAGTGAGATTAGATTTCTTTTCAGTCCTGGTACATGCCTTACTCCACCTAGAACTCTTGAAGATCCATCCCACATTTTCAGCTTGATAGAACCAACACCAATCACTTCACATGTGTTGTCATTTGCCAAATGCTCCAAGCGAGATTAGATTTCTTTTCAGTCTTGGTACATGCCTTACTCTACCTAGAACTTTTGAAGATCCATCCCACATTTTCAGCTTGATAGAACCAACACCAATAACTTCACATGTGTTGTCATTTGCCAATAACACTTTGCTTTCATCAACAGGTTTGTAATCAATGAAAAATTCCTTTATTGGTGTCATATGAAATGGACAACCTGAGTCCATTATCCAAACCTTGCCGTGGCTTGCTCTTGTTGTAGCAAGGACTTCAACCTCTTCACAATCTCCAAAAGCATTTGCACAGTCTCCATCTTGCTTTTTGTTTCCTTGCTTCATCCACCTCTTGTTTCTTTTGGACAATGCTTCCTAAAGTGTCCTTCTTGATGACAAATCCAGCACACTCTTTTCTTTCCTTCCTTGTACACTCAACACTTCTCCAGTCATCTTACCATTCAATTTCAGGTCCAATTCCTTTGAGTAGGCTGCTGCAGCAACTTCCTTTAGGGTCAAGGACTCTTTGCTATACTTGATGGTGTCCCTTAGATGATCATAGGCTGGTGGCAATGAATTTAACAAGAAAATGACTTGATCTTCTTCCTCAATCTTGATTTCAAGATTTTCCAAATCTGAAACTAGCTTTGTAAACTCATCAATGTTGTCATCAATTGACTTTGATTCATCAATCTTGAAGCTATAGAACTTATGCTTCAAATAGATTCGGTTTGGGCAAAGCTTTAGTCAAGTAAAGCTCCTCTAGTTTACTCCACATTTCAAATGCCGTCTTCTCCTTGATAATCTTCCTTAAAACCGTATCAGAGAGGCCAAGGATGATGGTATTTCTTGCCTTCTTCAAAGTGTCAGCCTGGTTTGAAGTCTCAGTTCCAGATTTTTCCTTCAAGGCTTCTTCCAATCCAAGATTGCCAAGGTGTGCCATCATCTTCTCCCTCTATAGGTTGAAATCATTCTTGCCATCAAACTTTTCCACTTCAAACTTAGATGTTGACATGGTGTGAGAAAGACCCTGGCCAGTAATCTTCCTTCACCAGATTTTTGTTTCAGTTATCACAAAAAATTGAGGATAGGAAACCAGATTTCTGGAATTCTTCTTTGCAGATTTTAATCCCAGCTCTGATACCAATGGTTAAGTCTGAACTTAATAGATGTACACCAGCAGGAAAAACGAACCAGCAGATCAGATTAAAGAACAGCAAGAAATAAAACCAGCAGGAAAGAAAAACCAGCAGAAGAAAGACCAGCAGATTTAGAACAGGAAGAATGATCTTCCTCAGTCTTTATTCATTCAAGACTTTACATGATTTTCCTATCAGAAATCATCAGAAAATTTCTACAGACTTACAAGAGTTTTACCACTCTATCTCATCTCACTTTCTCATTCTCGAGTTACACCCTTACTTCAGTCCTAAAACAAGTATTTATAGGCACAAAGGAGTATCAAAGTTAGTTATTAACTACCTAACTAACTAAGGCTCCTTTTGGTTGAAGATTCTACCATAAAATAGTTGATCAAACCAGCAAAAAAGGGGCTCCAACTTGCAACAGAATTCTGATTGCTCGAGGAATCAAGAAACTGATTTTAAGGAATCAGATTTCTTACAATATGCTTTCCTCAAAACATGCCCATCGAGAACATGTTTTAACATGCAAAATAACATACAGCGGTCAAAGCTTCAGAGAGTTTATAAGGGTACTTTGTTAAGTAAAAACAGATTACAAATTGAAAGAGAACTTGCAGGCTGGATTTGAACGATTAATTTGTTGGAATTATTTCTCTAGTGCACATTCTGTATGATGAAATTGAAAGACTATTTACTAAAGAACAAATTCTCATTCCTCCCTTACACATACATCATGAAACAGTGAAATCACTTAATCAAACAAAAATAAGAAAGCTAAGATCTATTGTGGACTATGACTCTATGAGTGTTAATACCAAATTCTATTACCTTTATTCACATATACTGATCCAGGACGAAGGTTATTGTGAGCATTCACAATGCTCTGCTCAATGTCATGAACAAGAACATCAAAAGATTGATGCACAAAACTAAGTGACGTTACGATATATATAACAAGTCGAAGATAACCGACGAGGCCGGAATGTGTGTGAATCACACAATAGCAAATTACTTTCCGTGTAAAGATTTCCATACCTAGAAAAGCAACAAGGATCTGCTTAACTGGATATCCACAATATTAAGAATACTGCAAAGAAAGTGTCTACTACAAATTAAGCCTCGTTCTCAATAAATTTGGGGTCGGCTACGTGAATCCTTATTCGCCTTTCTGCTCTATTTATTACTAGAAATCTTGATCTCTGAGATATTTAAAGCAATAATATTCTAATATACTTTTATTTGCACATAAACATTACCAACTCAGTGCATGGAAATCATTTAGTCTCTACAGAATATTGCAAATCCAGTTGGGGAAGTAAAACTTTATTTGACCACCTTGCTTTCAACCTCTCGAGTACTTTAATTGTCATGAGTTTTGAGGCCACGCAAGCATCGAGATTTATAAATGCAGCCCGATTTCCTTGTAGCTCCGCTACAATGAATGCACGAGCTCGCAACCTAAACTACAGGAATATTGGCAAAAAGCAATAGACAAATGCATATGCAATTCTCCAAGGTAAAATACTTTCCTATCACAAAATTGTAAGTAGCTAGATACGGGATAAGATTTTTTAAGTCAACCCTTGTTATCACACTTCTAAGAACAGGAAACACATGATGATAAAGTTCTAAAAGTCATTTTCAAAAATTGTTATTGTATTTTATGCATAAAACTGATAATTATTCAGACAAGTATGTAGAAGTTTACGATTATCATGAACAACTGGAATAATGTTTGAGGCTGTTAATGGGGTTTCTTCAGCCTTGGATACACCAGAAAGTATCTTTCCACCACTGTTCTGATCAAACCAATCTTCGGTAAAACGTGCAGCAGCTCCTTTGTTGTCTCCGCTTACCATTGAGTTCGTACGGCTCATAGAAGTTTCGTGGGTTGCAAACCAATTGAAGCTACCGACTGGACCCCATTCATCATCAACAAACTCAAAAGTGTCATATCTTTATCATCGTCACAGTTGTCAGGGGCGGACGCAAAAGTTTAAAGTTATGGAGCACAATCGAACTTACAAAGAAATTGAGAAAAATTTTACAATCGAAAATTTACGTCCAAAAAAATCATACCCCATATAATTTTGCATACGAAAATTTACACGGGATATGAATTTTTTAGATGTAAAATTTCTAATTTTTTTTATGTCATATTCCATATAAAATTTCCTAATAAAATGATGAAAATTACATTAAGAAATTTGTATTGCAAAAATAATAAATGTTAAAGAAATAATTGAATTTTTTTAAAGAAAATGTGAGTTAAACGTCTTTATTTAAAACTCACGTTTAACGTATTTTTAACTATTTTCGATATTTGTTTGGATTATTTGATATGTCTGTAATGTAGTTCTCGAAATAAGTTTTGAGATAACATAAGAAATTTATAGATTCGATTAGCGTACGATCGTCGAAAATTTTTTAAATTTAGTATATTATCGAAATTTTCGAAATACTAATTTTGAACGGCTTATATTATCGAAAATTTCGAAATACTAATTTTGAACGGCTTACTTTGACAAGTCGTAGCATTTGCTACGATTGATCGTTTCGTACGCCATTAACGACGTAGAAAACTAGACCATGAACACTTCGAAATGGTATTAAGAATGCAATATTTCGTCCTTATTTGATGGAGGGTTAAGATTTTGTTAAAAGACGAGAGAAAAAGAGAAAATAAAATCTACTGTGCTTTTGTCCCTATTTGATGGAGATTAAAATCAAATTTTTAGTAAATTTTGATAAAAGTTAAATATTTATGGCTTCCATGAAATATGCTATTAACATTAATTGTTAACTTTGATTTAGATTAAAATTTAGATTTCAATTTGTCCCTATTTGATGGAGATTAAAATCAAATTTTTAGTAAATTTTGATAAAAGTTAAATATTTATGGATTCCATGAAATATGTTATTAAAATTAATTATTAACTTTGATTTAGATTAAAATTTATATTTCATTCGATACCAAACATGCAAAATAACATACAGCGGTCCAAGCTTCAGAGACTATGCTTAGTAAAAACAGATTACAAATTGAAAGACAACTTGCAGGCTGGATTTGAACGATTAATTGGTTGGAATTATTTCTCTAGTGCACATTTTGTATGATGGAATCGAAAGACTATTTACTAAAGAACAAATTTTCATTCCTCCCTTACCCATACATCATGAAACAGTGAAATCACTTAATCAAACAAAAATAAGAAAACTACTATTTATTATGGACTATGACTCTATGAGTGTTAATACCAAATTTTATTACCTTTATTCACATTTATTGATCCAGGACGAAGGTTATTGTGAGCTTGTACAATGCTCTGCTCAATGCCGTCAACAAGAACATCAAAAGATTGATGCACAAAACTAAGTGAAGTTACGATATGTGATAAGTGTAGTTTCTACACTTATTCGAGGCCCTAAATCTTGATATTTTATTGTATTTAGGATAAAATTCTACCTAATTTATGTTATATTATATTTTGTAGGTAAAAATTTATGTTTGGTGAAGAATTGAAGAAAAAAAATGCAGCAGAAAAGGAATAGAGAAAGAAGAGAAAAAAAAAAGGAAAAACAGAAGAAAAAAAAAA